CTAGACCCAGATGGAAGACGCCCCAGAAAACAGGAGCTAGCTACGTGGCGCCAAACTATCGCCTGGGCATTCCCTATGCCAAGCCCCACAAATGCCGGCAAATAGCTCTTCTAAGATATCTCCGCATGCGATGCCCACCGATGATGGTTTTTAAACGTCATGGCTGCGTGTAACGGATTCTCTTTAAGGGCTATACCCATCAGTTGACTGGCTGGGCTTGAGGACCTGGACTTGGCAGACACTTGGGGCATTTTTTTCTATCATATAACCGGGCAATCGGCCCGACCACTCATCGGACAAGAGTCCTACACAGCGAACGTTCCTTAGTACAGCCGCCAGCTGGCAGAGTCTGCGGCACAAAGGCAAATCACCGCCAGAAAACACGACGGGATGTCCAGTGTACTTTGTCAGAAGTGCGGGCAGCACTCCATATATCATGCTTTTGTATGCAATAATCCCTCCGGCTCAAATATTTGTCACCCCCCAAGTCACTTTACCATTGAGGAATCCGGCACATTGCTTCCAATAGGGTGCCGTGCAACTAGTTAGAATCAGTCAGGTTTATGTTTAATGGTTTGCTGTGCGCAAGGTGTTTCTCGGACGTGCATAAGAGGTTTCTCCCTAGCCAGGACACCCTGGCAGGATAGGACCATACATCTGGAGATAGGAGATGGCGCAAGGATGATACATCGCGAAGTAAGGCTTTGTTGAAAGATGTCCATGAGCATGTCGTGGCCGGCAGTGATGGCAAGACAGTAGATACAGGTATCCACTAAGCGGGTGCCCAGAGCTCTGATGGGCAATATCTAGAAGTTGTAACGAAATTTCGGATCTGAGGGCACAGCTTGTGCACAGCCTATGGGCACTTGGTTCCCTGTGAACACTCCTGCAACTGATCGGCAGCAAGCCGGCGCCCAATGCACAGCGGTTTAACCAGCTTCATCAGTCGCTTTGAGAAGTGTGGTCAAACAATCAAACTCCGTGATGTAATGTAAGCCAAGGGCGAATCATTTTTGCTTGAACATACCCTTTCCCATCTGTCGTTTGAGCAGTTGTTTGACTTGACTCAAATCGCTTATAACGCTTTGTTTTGAGGCGCCATCTCACATTGTTCTTCCTAGTAATTGATACTGCTAGTGGCCTGGAGCTAGCTTTATTCAAAGCAACATTTGAATTAAAAGTATATGCTGTAAAGCAATAATCAGGGATTATGCTTAGAATTAAAGGCGTTGGCCTAGTATAACTGAGCTGGTTCACTTCGATGGATTATGAGATTAATTATTTTATGCTACAATTAGCGCATGTGCTTTTTGCCAGTAGCCCAATAATCCTTCGCAAGTAGTTTGCTGTTACTTGCGATGCCGTCTATCTAGGCTTTTCCGCCCTTGAGAATCAATCCCCCGCAGTTTGAATGTTCCCGCAAGACCCGTTTGATATGACGCACCAAAGAGCCGGCAACCTGAACTAGATAGAGATACCTTCTCTTGAAGACCATCCCACAGTACACGTTGTATTCGAGATGTGGCTTCTGTATTTCGACATGGCAGATTGTATTTTTCCAAATGTTTAATTGCACTGGACTGTATTTAGCCTCTCTTGCATCGAACTGTCTAACTGTCTTCACCAAGGTCATAGATTTTCGGTCGGTTATAACTGCAGCAAAATCAGCAGAGTTCCCAGTCTGCAGCTCGTGGGAGATTATCGATCGACTGACCGTTTACCATCTATGATCTGGCTGTTGTTCTAGAAGATGTTCAGGATATGCCTCGGCGGCCAGCGGTAGAAGATCCTCCATGAATTCAAGCCTCAGATCGGGGAAAAAGTTCTGGCTGGCAAGAATTGGTGGGACTGCCGCATGTGACACGTCTTGCAAAGTCCAGTCAGAAAAGCAGGTTTGTTGGAAGGGCTCGTAACCCGGAAGCGGTGGTTGAGTGGCTCCTGTGAACAGGTGGCCGGTGCCGCCAATGGTGGATAGATCCTGGAGAAAAGCATGTGGTGGCACAGTATTGTACAGGGTATCGAATGAGTAGTCCATTGGGAGATTTGGCACCTCATTAGGGTTGACCGATGGTGGTGGGTTGGAAGGCATAGTGTTTATCCCGAGATCAACATGGGGCTCTGGAAGCCCATCATTAGGAACACTGGGTAGAGGGCTGTGTTGTGGTGACTCGATTCGTCTTTGATGAAGGCAGTCCCTCTGGTGTTTGATCAGAACAGATCTGCGAGTGAACCTATGTATGTGAGACAATGGTCAGTAGCAGTCCCATAGGCAAGACAGGATAGAACCTATAAACCAAACCTTTTGTAACATTGCCCAATTGAGCACAGGTATGGCTTCTCTCGTGTATGAACACGCAGATGACGAGCGTATGTAGACTTCTAAAGTGCAAATGGATGTCTTAGATTCTCGGAGCAACACTAACGAGTCTGATTCTTGATAGACGCAGTATTCATTATCGCAGGGCATCTTACATCGGCAAATGCTCTGTTACACCCATCTGCCGCACAAAGAAAAGGTTTTTCTCCAGTATGCGTCCGAAGGTGGATCGTGAGTGCTGTACGCTGGTTGAATCTTCGTTTGCAACCGGGTATTGTGCACTTGAATGGCCTTTCGTTTGTATGAACTAAATGGTGGCGAGACAGGTCGGCGCGACGACTGAATGACTATAATAAAAGGGATGGTTATTACCCTAAGTCAGATCTGTTTAAGCTTGAAAACTCACCTTGTTGCACTCTGGATATGTGCACTTGAAATCTCGGTCTGCTGTTGAACTCATTGCTGGTCATACGGACGTACTAAGATGACTCCGCCACAGTATACCTTGAACACATCCTAGGATTGCGCATTAATGGAATCTTGGGATTGGAGGGGGATGCATTGTCATTAAACACTACCAATATGTGCCATACAGAAGGGGGCCAGTCATTCAATGGAAGTGGAACTAGAACAAGATTCCGCCCCGGTGGCACAGGTTGCCTTACTTAGTATAGCTACTAGTCGTTCTGCAACCAGTTAAGAGTTATTCCGGACCCTCCCTATGAATACATGCTTCAGTGCGGAATTTGAAGAGTGACCACTTTCTGAGCGGTTATGCTTGGTTCTGGGGAACAGGTACATGACAAACATACATAACGGGGAGGTAGCTACATGATCTACGTCAGGGATTTTCATTTGTTAACGATATCTGTACAGCGGGATGCCAAGACTACTTGTAAACTTAAACTTTCCATATAGTGGTGGAAGAAAGAGAAGGGCTTTGATAATGACAGGCGTAATGTATATTTTCCTACGGATTGTTGACTAGAAAGGCATCAAAATGAAACAAATTCATGTTCACGATCGACAGATTCAGGGTCCTTCCCAGAAGGGATAGCAACACCACTAAGTTGAGAACCGGAAATGGCTCAGCATATTTGCCTCTGTGCTGTCAAGAAGCTGGCGCTGTACCAATGCGCTCTAAGCCCCCTTTCCATGTCACATATGAGACAGTCAGTGCAAGGCCAAGATTTTATTTACACCAATAATCCTTAAGCAGAATTCCCTTACAGTCACTTAGAAGGGTTGCAGTTGCTAAAAGCGCCAGATGGGACCAGCATAGTTCAAGACTGGCAGACGTTATAGGAATACGTGAGCCCATTGCGATTTTGGGAACGATCCGGTGACTTATGCTTCTAAATTAGCCTATTCTTTGTAACATGTGTCCAATCCTTGGGACATTTGACATTTGAACAGCATCCGGCCTCGCCTTGCGTGCATGACACTGGGCGAAGATCCGGGATGGACACGGGAGACGTCCATTTCATACAGGCCTTGACGGATCATTCAATTTTCTTAAAGCAAATGATATTTCAGCCTTCGGCTGGATTCCCGTTATCTGCGTTACCTTTTTGGTAATTAAGGGGAGACCGGCTGTCATCATAATTAAACTAACGCACACGTTGCCTCCAGGATGATACATTTAACGGCATATGTGACTACACTAAGACATGATGGCTGTCTAGTAGGATAGACCTCATTTTGGCTGGACAATTATGTCTAATACAGAGTGCGATGCCTGTGCTATGGTCATATTCTGCTGTGACCATGAACCTGTAAAATGATAGCTTTGTTGCTTCTTCCTTGCGCAAAGCGTTATCACACCCTACGATGCGCCGCTATGGTCATGTCAAAACACGCTTTGAGTCTATTATCGAAGATATAGGCTATCCGTTCGGCGCTCAGGCCATTGTATACAATGTCCCCGCAGAAGTTGTCGCATGTCTCTGGGTTTGCTACAAAGGCCCCTTATGACAGAAATAGAGTTAGTGGCTGTTTTATTTTTTTCATTTGTCATTTTGCTTTCTCCTTTCCGTTTCTTAATGGATGGCCGCTCTGACATGTCTCCCGCTTCAATAAGCCTTGCGTTCTCCTCCCCCTCCCGTTTTTATGTGTTTCTCGCAAGAATTAGAGGAGTTACTGCTCATTCTAGTTATGTCTTAACAGGTATTGTTCCGTATTATGCTATCTAAATTTAATTACTATTATGACAGTTATGATTTTGCGGCTTTCTGCCAGTCGTCAGACACTGAAGTTGCTGCCTGCTGACATCTTCTAGTTTATACGTATTGTTTTGATATACTTACCTTTAACCCACCTTTGTTATGTATCTACTCTCTCTCTCTCTTCGTTTTCTTTCTCTGTCCAGACATGATTTTCTGGTTTGGAGGCTACAGAGTTCGTTTCCAATGATTCGGAACCACCAGATATCTATGGTGGATAAGGTAAATGAGTTCAACCTCATTACCACTTTCTAGTCATACTCATTTCAACATTGTAGGAATTATCAGTTATTTTGCTATCGATAGTTCCTTACTATTATGTCTTCTACTTTTCTCACTTACTGCTTTTGATGGTGCCAGTGAGCCGTGGCCCACAGCTCAACGCTCTCCCCCGCAGCTCAACGACCTCCCCACATTGCGGTATTTCATTTTGGATTTATGACTGTTATATGACAAACATTATGTTCCAGAAAGAAAGCATTGATAAAAAGGCCAGGGGCTGGACCGCGCAGAAACTCCGCACCGCACAACTCATCTCCGCCGGTGTCGAGAAGCTCCTATCGCGGATCACCTCGCACTCGTACTCATCTGATCCAACCAGCCCCATGGGCGCCTCCATCCCTGTCTGGCAGACCGAGAACGCGGACCTCTCGGGCGCCGGCACGTTGGAGGACGACCTGGTACTCCAACGGGGTCCCAAGGCGAGGGTTTCACCCGGGCGCAGAAGATCTACACTATCAGGCAGGGCTGGGTGACCGCGTACCTGTACTGGGAGGGCTCCGAGAAAGATACCACGAACTCTTGCTTGGTGATTACCGGTAGAAAGAATATCATTCCATCCGGGCGATTGTGGGCGTTTGCGCAGTGGAGTCGGGTTGTACGACCTGGCGCGGTTCGCGTGGCCGTCTCCGGGTCCAGTTCGACGCTCAATATGACTGCATCCAAGAATAAGGATGGCACTGTTGCGGTTCAGATGATCAATAGTGCGTCTTCGTCGACATCGGTCACCGTCAAGGGGTTCTCTGCTGGTTCGGCCGAGGCGTACGTCACGGGTAACAGCCACAATAACATAAGCGACACTACCGCGTCGCTTAGTGGAGAAGCAGCCACTGTCAATGTCTCTGGACATGCAATGGTGACCGTGGTTCTATCGTAGGTGACACCTCCTGCAGGAAGACAACGCTACGACTACTGTTTCGACTACCGTCACGCCGCATTTTCCTCAGAGTGGAGGATAAGGATGGACCAGCATACCTGCCAGGTACAGAATGCGTGTTATTCCCAGTGTGTGTAGGTACTTAGCTATTTTCAATGATTCGATTTTCAGACGGGTTACGGGGTGAAATTTGAAAGAGGCTGGACCCTGACGTGACATATCACAACCGTAGTCGAGGCAGGAGGTGATGCATTTTCGGGTCAACCTTTACTCTTGGGCGTCTCTCGCAGCACACTATGGAAGTTTTAATCTGCTAAAGACCAGTTTGGGTTCATTTTGCATCTGCCTATTCTACAGCGTAATGAACGATAGAGCGAAGTCCGCCATCTAAATACAACTTTTATACCCGTAAAACATTTTCACTATAATCGAGCAAGACCAGCTTACTCTTCTCTATCCCCTACTTGATTGAAACTTTCCATCAAAGAAGTGAAGGTCACCGAATACCTGCCGTCCGAAAGATACCATCAGCCCAATGTAACCGTAATTCCTGCAGTAGCCGAGCAGCTCTGCGTCGCAACATCATCCGACTCGTGATACACCTCGCTGCAGTCACTGTCACCAGCCGTACAAGTTACAGACGAGCAACTTGAGTCACTGGGTGTAGCCGAGAATCCCGCTGTGATGAATTTCGAGTCCGAGTCCATGTCAATTGCGGACAAGTCCCAGTAGAGCGTGTCGCTGTCCTTGGTATATTCAAACTGGAGGACACTGGCCTGGCTCTCGGTGGTGGCCATCTTGATGGAGATTCCGCCGCCGTCGGAGTTGGTCTGGTAGGTCTCGGAGTAGGTCTCACCGGAGGCGATGGTTTGCATGGCGCTGGAGGTATCGGAGGTGGACCACAGGTAGACGGTGGAGCCGAGGTTGTTTAAAATCTTAACGCTGCCGCGGCTGCTGCTGGTCGTGGCGCTTGGGCTGACACTGGTGCTGGCGGAAGTGGAGGTAGTGCTGATGCTTGCGCTGGAGGTGGCAGTTGCACCAAGCCTAGTCATGCTGCCACCAGGGTAAAATTGCGGAAGGGCCGAGACAGTCAGCGCAAAGGCCGCTGGGAAAAGGATTTTGGGAAAAAACATGCTGATTGACCGATTCAAAAGAATGTGAGGTCTAAGGAGAGACTGTGGCACAATGGCAATTGATAGTAGAAAGGAGAGTGCGAGGATCAACCTCGTCTAGAGAATGATTCTATAAAGAGAATAAAGCTGTAAGGACTGCTTGCTTTGCATTAGCAGTCAACAGGGTCGTGGCCTGCCCCTGCTATATTTATATCCCATGGTGGAGTAGGGGTGTCGCGAACACTTGATCAAAACGGTCCTCGCATACACGTGGATAGCGTGTTTCAGCCCTGTTCCCTTTGATCAGGTTCATTTTGGCCGTGTGTGGAGGTTGATTCGACGTTCTGTAGGCCGCATCTACATTTGTCGAGGCTGATGCTGTTCGGGACATGATACGAGGGCTCCTACTGTGCTTCCTCATAAACACAGCCAATTGAATGGGGAACTGACACAGCACTAGCGCTGTTCTTAAGCATTTGGACCAATAATTCAGCGTGATTTGGCTTCATCATCCACTGTGGTCTCGACTCTCAAATCCAGACCTTTTTGCGGGTCTCCACTTGTTCAATTTGCGGACTAAAATCGTAAGCGCATTACGCACGCAGGAGAGATGCTCAGACTGTCACCTTTAAGACTCGCCAGTGTACCATAAGGAATATAGTTCTCTGCCAGGTACACATGGCACAATAAAAGAACCGAGTATGGCTCATCCATGGTAGTGGCGCAGTCGTCAGCCCGTTCATCATCTGAAGGACTTAGTAGAGAAAGCGAAACTTAATTTTCTACGCAGGTCAACTATTTCATTCGCAGATCCCAGAACAACTGGATATCTTGCCTCCCAGGATTTAATCTGAATTTGCTTGACACGTCAATTCACCTCTTATAACTACGCATACATTACGGTAGACTCTAGATCAGCAAGCCCTCACTATCAAACGGCGGATACTTGAGAAACAAACTGTCTCAATATTGGGTAGTCAAATTAAATACTAATGGGCCTCATCCTAACAGACGAACACCATCACTCTTTCGTGAACAACCTGTACTAAAATCCTGGGGCTAGCAGCGCAAATCAATCAAAGCACACGTTCCATATGAATTCAAAGCGACGAGTCCAGATTTCGAGGCCTTCAATTACCGCAGACAAGCCAATCCTGAAACATCAATAATTAAGCTGTCATCTAAGCAGCCGGTTGGGCAACATCTGCTGGCGCATCGGCAGGAGCACGGCCACCCTCGGGATGGGGGGTTTTCTCGGCATGAGTGCGCATTCCCACTGGTCCCTCCTTTCCACTAAAGTAGAAATTGAAGATCTCAAAGCACATGGCGCAGAGAGTCCAGAAGCTGGCCACTTAAGTTAGCGCACTTGACAGCACTCCACACATCAGCTGTTAACTTACAAAGCCAGGAAGGAGAAGGCTTCGGCAGTTCTCTTGCGGGTGCACGAGCTTGAGAGACTCGAAGCGAACCATCGGCAGTTCTGCTGCCCAACGTGCTGGGCAAGGAAGATGAATGCTGCAAGCCACCTGTTCATTACTCATTAGTACTCACATCTCAAGAAACAGGGGGAGCATGTAAGCGTACAAGTAGGAAAAGACAATGTCCAAGGGTAGCATATATCCACGGTTACGTCTCATTGTTGATACTATCATCGCAGGGATGTAAAATGCTGTTGTTAGTGCAGCCTGCCAGAGTCAGAAACCCTATTTCTTATCATCTAGGCGCGATAGACGTACGATCACCAGCGGATAGACCACTCGGTAGCCATCAACCTTGGTCACGGCCCAAGCAGTGACGCCCATGACGATGACAGCACTCACCCATGCAAAGAGACGGGCGACGAAGAGAAAAGGGCGGAGGGAATCTCTTTCAGTCCAGGCCATTTTGGACGTTGTTGGTGCGTGCGGTCAGCTCGGTATCAATGGAATATGAGATGTCTGCAGCTTGTGCACATATCACATCCATCATTTCCAGAGCTCTTTTTAACCATTTTGGCTGTCCACTGGTGTGACTCAAGGCCCGGATGTCATGAAATCATCGAGCGGGATGGCTGAGAACCATTGGCCGAACCACGTTTATGAGGCAGCAGCTGGAGTCTAGCATCACATGTGTCACACGATCAGCATATTATAATCTAATTGATAATCAATGATGTCTGATCCTGGGTTCATTGATTAGATCAAATATTATTCAATGACATATTACGTATTGCGTCGCGCCTGGGTACGGCACCTTATGCTGGGGGTCCTACCCGACAGACGGATAAACTGAGAATGATGCTGAATGGGCGGATTAGGAATATTCAATGGTTTAGTATATTAATATTCACGCCACGCATAGTCTCAGTGGATCTGCAGATGATCCATATGGCTGGCACGCCTGGAGCCTCATTGTCGAGCAACCTTGTTGACCCACCAAGTCTAAGCAGGAATACCACGGCAATCGCGTACACTGCTGGCATATGAACTCCAGTTATGGACAACATTGACTTCGTCTCCCACTTCCATGTGCAATATTCTGATGTACAATAAACATGGCAAGATCCATAAGTGTAACTGATACTAGCCTTTTCCAGAAGAGTCACAAAAATGGAAATCAAAAAATGGTCACTACGAGGGTCGAACTCGCGACCTTGGCGTTATTAGCACCACGCTCTAACCGACTGAGCTAAGCGACCAGTTGTTGAAAGAAGCTGGCTTATTGCAGTTGACAAAGCACATGTTTGCCCTATTTGCGCCTCTTGTATTTGCATACGGAGTACAGACGAGATGATCATGCTAAAATAAAGACTCATCTGGCTCGGGCCTTGGTGTGTCTTTTAAACTGATGTCTCCTGCACTCGTCCTATTTATCTCATTTAGTAGCGGTTGACTGTGGGTTGTTGATGCCTGCGCGACGTCACAGGAGGTACGCTATATTTAGTTCTACCAGCCCTCGTGGTATCACCAACCACTATCGGCTTTCTTCCCTCAACGTGAATGTAAAAAATAATGGGAGAAGCTAAGGAAAACCATAGTCAGACTATTTGTTGTATAGGGACTTCGACCCTTCTATCCACGAAAGTGAGGTGGTTGAAGTACACCTACTAAAATCTAGATGAGCACACACCTCTGTACTTCTATATCCCAGTTGCTCGGCTGGTATCAATTGCCAAGCTGAAATACCTTTCCTGCATCAAAAGACTTTTGTGGAAACATCAGATAGCCCTTCTGGTTGGCCAAAACGACCTTGCCTGTCTCATCCGTGAAATGACAGTTATAATGAGTATGACCGAAAGCCCAAGCTTTGACGGCCGTAGACGTCCAGCATTCCTCCGAGGACAAGTCTGTCATGAAAGCCGAGGTCACATCGCTATGTTTATGCCTGCGACTCATACAGCGCGAATCCCTGGATGGGCTGTGATGACTGAAAATGAAGATCTGTCTCTGTGGCTCCTCCTTTGCAATCCTGGATACCTCGGCATTTAACCATTTGAGGTCCGACTCATGGGCGAGGTTATGGTCCTCCACGGTCCAGTGCAGGATATCTTTAAAATCAACCACTCGGGACTCGACGGAAAACTCCTGCTCCGGAGTGACATGAGAAAAGAGGGTGCATCCAAGCACAGTATGCGTATCCGAGACGTCGTAGCGAGTCTGGTCCAGAAAGACAAAGCGTCCAACTCTGGAGGAAGAGATCCGCGCCTGTTCCATCTTTGCCTCAAAGGCTCGCATTTTCTTCTTTGCAGATTGGAGTGACATATGATATGGTTCATGATTTCCAAAAACGAAGAAGACAATCAGATATCGCTGGATTTGATGTTCGAGGAATTTGAATAATTGCTCGTTCGCTACATGGCCAATATCCCCGACGAGTGCAAGATACGATGCTCCGCTCTGGAATTGGAAATCATCATACGAGGAATGGGTCTCGAGATGCAGATCAGACATGATCTGGAATGACAAAGGAGCCATATTAGTGCCCTTGCAAGCTAATGTAATCGGCCCACATTGATGTGCTGAGCGGGAGTGAAAGTCGAGTTGCTTCAAACGCCATGTCACGTCATCCAGCAATGCAGCATTACGTAACCATGGATTGTTTGCGGATCTTAATCCAGGTTATTGGATACTATCAAATACCCATTTAGTAGGACTCTTTATAGTTAGAATTTATATATTGTCCATGGCGGTGATACGACCCCCTGACAGGCCTCAGGCCCGTCAAATGTTTCTCGATCCTTCGTACAACGTAGGCACGTTCCTTCACACCGACTAGACTACACCCCTCTGTTTATATCTCTTCCTTGCCGTGTACACAGCCATACAGTCGCTAATCGTCTTGATGATTGGAGCACGGTCAATAAGCCGTTTGGCGAAGAGAATGTTTTCCCGTCGCGTCAAACCAGTACAGATCCCTCCGGCTCAGTCCGCCTCCCAAATTCCTCAGCACGAACTTGTTGATGAAAAGGCCTGCCGGACTTATAGCACCAAATACTTCTATACAGGTAAACTCGGAGCGAAGATAGTGAGTACCGTGGCGTTGGACCAACCGAGCTGCTCTACTGGTTCAACCGGCTGAGGTCCACCGCGATTTGCGTCACGACGGTGTAGGGCTTGTCGAAGCAAGCATCCCAACGAGTCTCGCCTGAAGCCCAGAATTTCTCCAGGAGAGCTTTTGCCGTCAGCGGGACATATGAGCCAATGTGGCGGCTCACCTCTGGCAGGTGTTCTCGAACAAAAGCTCGCATCATTGCGCCGCCATTCACAGCTTGCACCCCGAGCACGACCAACGGCCAAAGTGTGAATCTCTTTATTCTTGGGGATGACTGAGCCTCTTTGAGCAGCTTCTGCAGAAGCTGTCCCTGGTTGGTACAACTGGCTCTCAGTAAGGGAGTCAGGGGCAGAACTGACAGGCTCTGCAGCGAGAGGATGCAGTATAATGACACGGCGGCCTGGTACGATTTTCCTACAATTCTCCAGTCCTCTTTTGACGACGGTTTGGAATTGGCCCATTGTTCGGAGGAGAAAATATTGATGCGGGAGAGGACTCCGTACGTCTCTTGGGCGAGGTCCTCCAGTCGTGCGGGATCTCGTCTCCAGGCTCGCACACGAAGATGATTGATCCTGATAATCTCGGCGAACAAGGGCTTGGGACACATCTGGAAGTCAAAGACTCCATTGCCAAACTCCTCTAATATGAAGTCAGTTTCCCCAAGGCGCAAAGTAGTTGTCGCCAAGTGGGAAGCGGGCGATGAAGTGTTCCCCATAACTGCAACGCTGTGTGGCAGTCAGCTGTATGACACCCCTAACCAAACAGTTTGTGCACAATAACGTACAACACAAAACAATGGAGTAGTGGCGCTAAGCTGGTCGACCTGGCTAGTGAACGGATGCCGCCGCGCAGCTTGATTAGGTTCTGGAGACCCTCGATGTGGCATTGCCAATAAGGAGAGGCACCTTGCTGAACCTAGCAAGGTAAACATGGTTCAGTATCGGTGGATGGCTCTCATACTAAAATTGGACTCACATCAATGAGTAGCAGCGTGATGATTCCGGCAAGGACGACATCGCCGGTACGCTTCTGGCCTTCATTAATGTCGCTCCTGAGAGATTGAATGACAAGTCCCCGGTACCGGTAAAAGGTGACCGCCAGGGAGAGTGATTCCTTGTTTGGTTCATTCTATGACTGAGGGTCATGCACACCATACCAAGTCGTAAGTATTCAGGGTGCGCCGCCCCTCGCTGAAGAAGCGTGGACGAGATCTTGTAAACGCCATGATGGGGCCCAAGGTCATTGATGGGGAGCAAGTCGGGGTATATGCAGGCATTAACTGTCCGGGGGTTAGTCTTTTTTTGGTTATGGCGCTACATATGGCTTTTACTTGCAGTATTCGGCTGCCTGGGCCAAAACCGGGGCATCTGTAATGGTCTCAAAACGGGGAACGACGGAGAGCTCTGCCGTGGCCTTTGCCAAGTTCTCTTTGCGATTGCTCGCCTGCTTTCGATTTCGAGATTTTACCCTTCCAGGAGCAAGCCACTTCAACCTGAAAGGTTCTGTATCGTTATATCCGGGACAGACGATCCCGGAGGTAGAGCACCGCTTACATTGGGGCTGGGCGAAGTCACATACTAGAGACCGTCGGAGACATTCCCAACAGTGGCGTTTTCGATCCTCCATCGTCTATGCGCCTGATCGGAGACGATCAAGCGAGGGAAAGATAAAAGTCTTCAGTCGGGGGACCGATGGGGTGGGGGGAAGAGACAGGGTCTGTCTCTCGCCCCGGTAGTAAGCACGACAGAGTAGTACAATAAGATGAGCCACAGTCACTTCAACACTTGTTGTAAGTCCTAGAATAGGCAACCACCTCGGAATGATCGTCATCGCTGGTATTTAGCGTCTTGGCGTCTCTATTTTCCTAATTCGGCAAAGCGTCTCTTGACGATGATGCTTTTTGAAGAGCAACTTGTGAGAGCCATATAAGCCGGCATGGTCCACTGTCAAATAAATAACAAGAGAAGGAATCTTATCCGGTTTTACTGGAGAATTTGCTGTTCAAGGTCCCATACATGATGGCAAGCGGGCAAGTTGGTAGGGTTTGGTCTAGATCGGCCACTATAGTAATGTATGTGATATCATTACTGACCAGCCCTAGTTCCGGGAAGTCTTTACATCTACCCTCCTAATAAGGGAAGCCCAGTCTTTTTCACAATTGCCTTCGCTGTCTCAGCAGTTAGCCATATTTGGCAATGCCTGTGGGTGCCCTGAGTTCCTGGGTATCACTCCGTTCAATCAGACCTCCTAATTCCCACATTAGCCGCTACAAGTGCATTAGAATGATCGGGCTGCACCCACTGTGTGCAGTACTGTTTACAGTCGGATATGCAATGCGGGCATATGGAGCCCACGGGCACTATATATACGACTCATACACTTCACAAAACCTGCTCATCTATATTCTCAGCCAGGTCTTTATTTATATATGCCCGTGAGTTACATATCTTGGTCAATCCTGTTTGGGCGCTGACTGGATCTGTCTGATTCTATAGTCCGCTGCTCGAACTCGCCAACTACCACGTTCTCGGCCGGATGTTCTACTACGTCCCAAATCTCGCACCCCTTCCCCCCGGCAAAGTTCTGGCCATTTTCGGTGCTCTAATGGCGCTTGTGGAGACATTGAATGCTTTAGGGGTAGCTTTCAATGCCAATCCAACAGGCAGCCAGCAAGGGTTGGGAAAAGCTTTGATCCTTGTCGCACTCGCACTCCAGCTGTGCGTGGTACTTGCATTCGTTTCGATAGCGGGCTCTTTCCAATGGCGGTGCGCAAAAGCAAAAATTCGTCGCAGGTCTCTTCCAATTCTCCTGGTCACGCTAAACATCAGCATGGCATTGATCCTGATCCGTTGCATCTACCGTCTGGTGGAACATGTCGGGAACACGTCGGTGGATCTTGATGATCCAGAAGAACTAAGAACTCTGAGCCCCATTTTGCGATATGAGTGGTTCTTTTATGTCTTTGAGGCATCGCTCATGCTCGTCAACTCTTTCCTATGGAATGTGTTCAATCCAGGTTGTTATCTGCCCAGACACCATACGGTTTATTTGGCGGCGGATGGCACGACCGAAATCGAAGAGGAGGAAGTCCGCAATGACCAACATGTTCTGGTTAAAGCTGCGTATGCGGCTGTCAATGCACTGACATTTGGCCTGTTTCACCTGATTGTCCGTCATAAGGACGAAGAGAGTCATCCGCTAACAGAGCGGAATAAGTAGATATCTGCTATGTGTCGTCAGATTTGAACGCCGGCTGGAATACTGCAAACAGATCTCTGGAAACACCAGTGTCCTACCTAAATTTGGCACAAGGAGACTAAGTGTGGACCTTGCCAATGACTGTATATATGGATGGGGTGCTTATTTTTGGGATTTAGAAGCCGAGATGTTGGAAATGAAAGATAGAGAAGTACATGGGTGGATTAGAGAAACTACGAATTGTCTACTTAATCACATATCATGAATATCTACTTTTCTGCTATTATTATCAATATGCCCCCAACTGCTGTGATGTTCTGACTCGGTCTTCAGCCACTAGGAGTTTATGAAACGTCCGGCAAAATCCACCAACGGAAATGCTTTAACAGTGGGTTTCACTCTGTGACACCGGCAATTAAAGTTGATTAATATTGAGTCAGTAGTACCTAGCCATAATCCTCAACTAATCGGGGACAACGATCAAAGTGAAGGGACTCGTATCATCCCCTCTCCTTCCTGGCTATTATACAAGCCACCAGACGCAATTATCTCCGTCATATTTTCGGTAAAAAAGCAAACTCATAATAACATTGATAATAATAATTCCGGCAGGCCGTCTATGATAAACATTACGAACAGGATATTCTTAGATCAAATAGACAGTAGTTAGTCGTAAGAACTAAGCTTCGGCCGCCGAGCTTGGGCATTTTCTTGGAGCCAACGTGTTTCATAAAGAAAGCATTTTCTCTCTACTCAGTACTAATCCCGAAAAGTGACATGATTAGGTATGATTAGAGGGTCGAGTGGATCCATCAAAAAGATATCCAAATTAACTCCTAGCAGACCGAAGTAGCCTTAGTCGGGGTTGCTGCTCGTCTCATCGGTCCTAGATTGTAAGGTTGTAACCAGTATTGAGGCCGTCTCTCCTTCAAGTTTCTTCCCTCTTGATTGTCAGAAGATCATCGTCTTAGGCTGTCGGCAAAAGTATCGCCTTGTCGGGCCTGATTCCGTGAAGATTGTTGACTGCCGAAGTTGGGGTAATTCTGCAGCAGAGGGGAACCAATCGCTAAGCTTTTAGCCGCTGGGACAATCTGGGGAAAGCATGATTGCCGAGAAGCAAGATCATCCAAGCGAAGCTTTCTTCCTAGGGTGGAGTGATCATTCAGCTAGGCTATTCGCAAATATGTAAATTTAGCCGAAAAAAATCATATAAGGAGGTACCGTGCCCCTCCTGGGAAAGCACTTTGACAATCAGGTCAGCTTTATTCATCAGAGCACTGCAACCAAGTCTCAATATGATCTCCTTTTCCTCGCTTAGCTTTGGTCTCGCCGCTATCGCCGGCGCATTTGCTCTTCCAGGTGACACGACCGTCAACTTGGCGGAACGTCAGACCATCACGTCCAGCCAGACAGGCACTAACAACGGCTACTACTATTCCTTCTGGACCAACGGAGCCGGAACAGTGCAATACACCAACGGTGCCGGTGGCGAATATAGCGTGACCTGGGCGAATCAGAACGGTGGTGACTTTACCTGCGGGAAGGGCTGGAATCCTGGCAGTAACCAGTAGGTAACGCMAGAGAACTATAAGAAGACACGAAGAAAGTACTAAACTTCCCTACTAGTGACATTACCTTTTCTGGCTCCTTTAATCCCTCCGGAAATGCCTACCTCTCCGTTTATGGATGGACTACCAGCCCCCTGGTCGAATACTACATCCTCGAGAACTATGGCAGCTACAATCCTGGCTCGGGCATGACGCACAAGGGCACCGTCACTAGCGACGGATCCACCTACGACATCTACGAGCACCAACAGGTCAACCAGCCTTCGATCAGCGGCACGGCCACCTTCAACCAGTACTGGTCCATCCGCCAAAACAAGCGGTCCAGTGGCACGGTCACCACCGCGAATCACTTCAACGCCTGGGCTAGCCTGGGAATGAACCTGGGTACCCACAACTATCAGATCGTCTCCACTGAGGGATACGAGAGCAGCGGTACCTCGACCATCACCGTCTCGTCTGGTGGTTCCTCTTCCGGCGGAAGCAGCAGCAGCTCCTCCACTACTTCCTCGGGCAGCTCCTCTACTGGTGGCTCCGGCAGTGTAAGTCTTCTTCCACATAGCGCCACAGCTATGTTTATTCTGACTGCGAATAGTGCTCTGCTTTGTACGGTCAATGCGGTGGAATTGGCTGGTCTGGCCCTACTTGCTGCTCTTCGGGCACTTGCCAGGTCTCGAACTCGTACTACTCCCAGTGCTTGTAGCATCTCGTTGTAGGGTCTTATGGAAATCATGTCTCTGACTGGTGTCTGAGAGTCTGATATGGTTCGAATATAGGCGATGGGTATTAAGTAGGGGAGATCCTGTCGTTCCCGCCGTCTCTATTATAGCCAAATAGCGATAGGAATTAATCTGACTTTTACTTTAAGCTCCTAAGATCTATTTTACCTTGTCAGTGGAGATAGTCTCAATACTGGAATGACCGTATCATCCGTCCTTCTCCACGTCGGTTGTGCCCTTGAGTATTATACACTTGGGTTAGGATTGCGCACAATCTCCCCACAGGACAGTAAGGCAAAATAAAGAAGACAAGTTTGCTGTACATGCATCCTTCTTTTCCCATCCGCTTATTATATGTGGAGGTTATGGATTGGCCACAAATATGAAGGATAGGAGACTTTACGGGAGATACGTATGTGTATTTATCTGGCAGAAAAAGAGGTGGGTCCCCGGCCATTCGAAGTATCAGGGTATAAATATTATGTAATGTGACTGTACCTCCTAGGGGCATTCTGAGCATTTCAGACCTGTTCTGATTCTGCTGCACACCTATGATCCACTTCGAGGGGTGTTCCAAAACCTATCCTGCAAGTTACCGGAACACAAAGATACCTTTTCTCTATGAATTTTGAGATCGGTTTGATATTTGATTCTCATCGCGACAATGGAAGCTCTAAACAACCTTCCAGCTGAAATTCTTCTCAGCATCAATGCACATGCAGCAGACTGGGTCAGTCTTGAAAGCCTCTTACAAGTCTCTCCGCGGATAGGTGAGCTTTTTTCAGGTGACGCCAACACTAAAGCTGTTCCTGAAGCCATTTACCTGGTTGAATCAATTCTCAAAAAGAACCCCATCATGGGCCATGGATTGCACCGCCAATTTCGCATGGCCCTGGGACTACGCCGGCCTTGCTTTGCAGATACTAGCCTGGCTGAGTTCATGGCTCGAGATCATTCTTTGTTGTTGACAGCCTCCCCTTCTTTGATATCCCCTGCCATGCTAAAAGAGATGGTGATTATTGCGGTCAACATACAGCGGTTAGCATGCGCCTGTTTGAGCACCCTTTTGGCCCGTGTCGGAAAGGTTCAGCCGCGGCGCTATGAGGGGTATCCAGTTCCGGAGGCCAACATTTACAGAGTGACGGGCACCGCACAATATGAGCCACGCGACGCGGGCCCTCCCTCCTGGATTGAGGAGTATCGGGTCTACCGTGCGCTCTGGCACCTGCAGTTGTATTCCGACCTGTCGATCGCTGGGGCCCGGCTGAACTGGCCTCAAGGTGACCTCGAGAATTGGCGGACTGAAGTCACGGACTGGGATAGGGTGCCCCCAGTGGTTAGGGAGGAACTCCGGACCATATCAGAATGCCTGGAGAGTCTGTACGAGGTTGATGGTATCCTTCGCACTACACAGTCTCAGGTCACTTCGACCGACGACGGGAGACCCCTCATCTCTCAGCTGCCGAATGCTTCTCAACTGCGATGCAGTTTCGATGTCTGGGCTCCTCCGTCTCCGCCTGAAATTCCCGACCATGAGGATGGTGTCCCTATGGATATTTGGGGCCAGGGTCTTGTATCGATCGACCGGAATAGCATGGCCGGTTGGTTCAGAGCCTTCCAGCGCCGGACGGGTAGACATCCCGCCATACACCAAGGCTGCAGTATCCAGGATGCCCGTCCATGGCGCGGACTAGGTATGCCAATTTGGGACCTCTGGCGATTATACTGCCTAGGACTCTGGTCAGCTAGGTACCCCCGCGGGCGGCGTCCTGGACCTATCCCGGCTCCTGATGGATCAGAGGTTCCGGAAGGTGATTATCCATTTGGCGGGGACACGGGACTAGATTATCGGGTTTCTGTTTTTATGCAGGCGCGGACGCAGATGGAAATTCAGGAATGTCAGCAGAGGGTAGCGGAGGAGCGGTTTGCTAAAGAATGAATATCAGGTATCTTTACATTGAACTTCTCCCCAAGGTCTATACATGAGCTAGGTTTGTCTAACTAGCTATGTAAAGGATCAGGAACTGAACTGAAAGATCATATGATCCCATGGCTGGTCGTTGCCCTGCTCATCCAATCCTGGGGTGGTCCAAGCTGTGACCGACACCGGGGGGTCTTCTTTCCCAGCTGCTGCTTGTGGATGATCAAAAGCCAAACGGCTCCTCCACCGTTGAGAGTGCCCAATAAGGCCAATCCATTCTGGTTGATCAACACGCCGCCTTACTTCTTCTGATTGATGTCGGAGACCTTGCCGGGCTACGCAGGACAAGGGCCGAATTACGTGAAGCCGTGGGAGGCCGCCGCCGCATTCCGGGAACTGTACCAGAACTGGTAGGCTGCCTCCCTTGAGGCTGGCAGATAGCTAACCTGAAATAGGAAAGACACGGTCCTGGAAAGGTTTCAGCTCGAGTGTGGGGATTTCCGGCCCTATTACGAAAACAAACCGACGGCATGTCCATCACTGTACGGGGCCCCTTCGATCCGCATAATAGCGGCCGCGCTTTAGGATTTCTCAAACCGCTGGAAGTAGGGACGAAGGGAGAGCAGCGTGGCTGCATGCGTGAAGCTGGAGTAGCAGACCGCATCGGGTAAACCGCCGAGATGCATAGCCCACATCTCTTAGGCACGGCAACTACGGGCGGGCGCAGGCCAGTGATTGATCAAGATAAATACTATCATCTCTCGGAAGATATCCCCGATGGTTAATCGTAGAAATGATGCTTAGGTGATCAGGGCTTTCCGATATCAGCGTGAGCAGTAACATTAGGAACAGTTGCAATGCCAACATGTTTCATGACTTGGCTGAACACAGGACTTGATTCGGGCTACTAAGCTAATAAACGTGGTGATCGCGCTTTCAAACCGGGATTTCAGTCTCCTTGTAGACCACTTCTAAGCCAAAGCCTTGGCCGCCACTTGCTCTGGACTCTCCTGTGCAATTCCCAATAGATCCGCATCTGATTCCTCTCGCGATTGAGCAAGAAGACACCGAGATTGGCCCTCGTCGAACAATTGTGCCACCACCAGGTCCAGAATCCAGCCACTAACACCCTCCTGAAATTTGCGTTTCCCGTTCTCCATGAGTGCGTGCGTGGACGCTCGTTGTACCTCCCACTGTTTGCCCGTCGCAGATTGAAATGCTTCCAACAGCTCGTTTTGACAGGTTATGATTGACTGCGCCTTGACAAAGCGGTTGGCTGTCTCGCCTGGATGCTGCAAGACGCCGACCACCGACTGTCCGATACCCTCGAGGGTGGTTCCGGTGAACCGTTCGGTGCCAGAGTCATAAATGATGGCCGAGCAGTGCGCTACATCGAAGCCCATCGGGGGGAAGCGTTTCAATGCCTTGAGAGCTGATTAGTCTGAGGCGAGAGTATGACATGAATCGCTATCACTCACCCAATCAATTGGATTCCCAGTGCTGATTCCCGTGTATGTAAAATTGGGATTACTGTCTGCCTTCGCCTTTGCGTGATCCCATCCCGCACGACGATGCGCATGAATGTCGTTGAACTCGGGCAAAGACTTGGGATTGTCACCCCAGCCAAAGTCATCCAGGATGAAGCGCTTCACGCCTGCAGCCTCGGCGGCATCGATCATGGTGATTTGTGCCCCGATACCGCCGGGACCCACCACGCAGACGGCTGCATCCTGTCCCGCTAGGGCTGATGTGAGGTTCTCCAGGGTGTAAATCGTTCTGATAACTGGAATGTCGGACGGGAACGTCGCCTTTGATTCGCTGCGGGTGATGATCGTTACTATGAAGCCCGCACGTCGTAGGGCTGCTGTGATTGGAGTGCCAAAGTTGCCAGAGGCCAGTAGGGAGGTCAGTAGGCGTGTTTATGGTCATATTGAACGCTGGACAGTCGGTCTTACGCCGAAAATAGCGACTCTTTGCACGACAGCCATGATCCCCAAATGTGTTCTTGTTTCTGAATCGACCTATTGCTGGCTCGTATTGATGCTTGAGGCCGAAACCTGTGGCCTTTTTATGAACAAAGACACGGAGGACAGAGGTCCATCAATTCGCAGGCAACACTCTCACATCATCACAAGTCTCAATCCGTACTAGCGCTGACCCCGCAACTAGATGTACCATTCACTAATACTTTAGTAGTCCAGTAGCATTGGGACAACTCGAAGCCTCATTAGTGTCTCTTGGACCCATGAGTCCAGGCCCTCGAACCACAGACGAGGGCCAGTGTGTCGTTAAATAGAGTTATATTCGAGATATCCATATATTTCATATGACAGCATGAGTTGCGTAGTGTATAGTAGACATGGTTCACATTAACACCCTCCGTGCTTCATAGTATCACAAATGCATCACAAAAGTCTATGGAATATATTGTTTATTATAAATTAATACAGAAATAAGTCTATCTTCTCCGTCTATCCATAATTCCAGCAGATCTATGTTCCTCCGTTACAGAGGATGATCCATTTCAGCCCGCTTGCACCCTTGCATTGCCTCCATACGAATCAATGGTATCTCTCGATAATCCCACCATTCGGACAATTGTAGAGTTGGGTTATCATATGGTCCAAGCGACGCAACCAAGCACGGAGAGCTCGTCCTATGTGATTCGCATCGGAAAATGCGCGAGAGAGCCGTCTCACTTCCAAATCGATTTCCTCATCAAGGCCATCCTCCGCGGCTTCAAGAGAATGGTCATCGCTTCGCGACCGCAACTTTGCTTTGTCCTGGTTGAATGATCTCGTTCTGATTTGAAATAGTAATCCTTGAAATCTTCCAAGCACATGCGGCCTCATCCCCTCTCCTGCCACGATTCCGAGAGGATATCGGATGGAGAGAGGTCGGTTTTGCTTCGTGTGAAGTAAGCGACAGATTGAGCCGACCGGCAATATCAGTCATACTATGGGTTTCGAAACGTCAAAGTTGCCAGGTATCCTCTCACGCTGCTACCACAGCCTTGTGGTACTGACTGGCCAGTTCTTCACAAACTCCCCAGATGCGTCGACGGTTCGCAACTCCAATGAGCGCCAGGTCGTCCATGCCGTACCGAGCAGCAGTCATCTTGTCCAGCCACAGGTACAAGCGCTTGTAGTTGACGTCGGCCGGCAAATCCCTGGGGTTCTGCGAAGAGTAAAATTCCCAGAACCATGGCATATCCCACTGGATAAATCGTTTCCAGAACCAGTTGTCCTGAGTGACAACCTGAATGCTCAGTGATGCCTGAGTCAATGCCTTGAGCGAATCACCGGGCAAGTATGAGCAGATCTGATACACGAGTTCGAGTGGAAGCTTGCCGAAGGGGCTGGCAGGCGAGCGGCCCTTAAGATCGAAGTGTGAGAATGACTTTTTGAATTTGCCGTCCGTCGCCATGTTGGTTTTGAGCAAATCATCCAAACCAGATGTTTCGATTGGATGAGTCGCGCAGTACTGCAACTGGTCAGTATGATAAGAACGCGACTTGATCGTGGCTGCTTGCCTCTGCGCCGGGGATGCACTCCCAGTACCGGCCTTGTGCCCGCCGAATGTCGTCGCCATAGTTCAGTCGCAGAGCGGAGGAGGATCCGTTGGATAACTCTGTCATAACATTGTACAGTACTTTCATGTCGATTGCTGAGCTATCGGTGGAGCCGGTCAGGACGCGAGTGAGGATCTCAAAGCAGCATCCATGGAAGGGGATAACTGGTCCGGGGGTGTCGTCGGTCCCAGAGCCATAGCTGCATCACATTAGAATAGATCCTTTCCAGTTCGATGGATAGGTGGTCAAACCAGGTATAAACATTCCGGTCTTGACCCGGTACAGCGTCAGTTCCAGACTTGATGGCAATCTCTCCCTGCAATGATCGGTAAGCCTGCTGAATTGTCGATAAAACCTTGGGTGGTGGAGCATACAACGTCGGCATAATAACCCGGTCCGGAGACAAATGTCCTGATGATAGTCAGATAATCTGCCTTGATCGATGCAAAAGGCGATCATCAGGCACTCACTTTCCCTTTCCCGAGGCGGCCTGAGGGTTGAATCCGAGGCAGTATGCCTTGTAAAGCCATGCTACATTCTCCCAGCCAACAATCTTGGGGTCGTAACTGCGAACGGGCTCTTCACCGTCCTGGGGGACCTGGTCGATCGACTGACCCGCTTGGAGGGCTTGAGATCTCTTTTCAATCCACCGTCTCCGACGCTCGGTTCCTGTTTCTGAGGGAGTCTCAATGAGCATTCCACAAAAGCCGACGCCGCAGATGGCGCAGTAGCAGTCGTAGGCCATGGTGGCTATTGGATTGAGATCCCCGCGTATCCACGGGAGAGAGTATCAAGCGGAGATGCAATTGAGGCTGGCTTGAGAGTTTGACGGGGGACGAGTGATCTATCTCTACTCTCGAAACAGGGTGGAATGGATAAATATCATCAGCCACCGCGGATTGACATTTATTACTATCATGCCAGACGGAGCCATCTGGACTCGGCGGTCACGCACACGCACATGGAAAATTCGAAAAGTTTTCGGTAGGCGATCCGTTCCATCGACCAAATCCAACAATAATTGGGTCGATACCCACAAGCCGAAGCAATTGACCCGCAGGAAGCAATGGCGTTCTGCCAGTTTGCCCCTGATGGGAATCCAGTATCCACCGGGATGAGTTGTCATTCGTTGTCTTGATGAACTGCTATCTGTTAGCTGTTGTTTAGTGTCTCAGCTGACCTGACAAGTTTTCCGGCTAAGACTGTCTATCCCCGTACACCGCTAAGTGATTAAATATCGCTAAGGAGAGCCAAGTCGATATCGCCCCTTTGAGGCAATTCCGAGTCCCGAGGAACTTCCTTTTGCCCCTTTTTCTTTTACCTAACACTTCCAGACCAAAACTCCAGAGGCGATAACTTGATAACTGGCCTTCTGGCAGTCTCCTGATTATCTGATGCTTAATCTAAAAATAGTTGTTTTTACGAGGTCTCCATCCGCCCTCGATATTATTCAGGATGGTGAGTTGGGGTCACTTGACCACCGGAAAAGGGTCTAAATTAAGGTAGTATCGAGTAGTACATCCGTCGTTTAATTAAGGAGAAACATGTCTAGACTCACGCAACAGTACTTTTGTTGTCCTTCTCTCTTTCTGACTCTTCTAGACTGGAACGAAAATCCTTTATTCCGTTCTCCCCGACACCGGGCACCTGGGAAGCGGCACAGATTACTAATCAAGCAAGTTATGGTCCGCAGCAGGGTGGCTGAAGGGTGTAGCACGGGAGCTTTGCATGCAGCGGATACAAGCCAAAGTTTGTATCTGTTAACACTCCAGTAGGGAACACCCTCCTGAATCCTCTTCAAACGAGTTCAGGCGCCGCGGAGACTAGCAGACCATCCGGAGTGGAGAGCTCTTTGGCCTCCTATAGCGATCTGCAGCTGCATCCCCATCTCCAAAATTGCGGTCAGACGGGAATTCAAACTTTTCTCTCGGGATCCAGATCGTGAGAGATCAAATCAATGTGATTGGTGCAGTCAGTGGGCTGTTCCTGTCTAGGCTTTTATTACGATTGGCTGCATTCCTTCCAGAATTGTTCCTTGCGGCCCACTCAACCAATAGAATTCAATCAAAGACTCCGAATTGCTCCACTGTCAATGAATAATCCATGAATAATGAGATTAAAGATGAGCCAAAAGAGAGCTGAAAATATTATTGCATACCACCGAGATACTGATATGTTGTCCTCGATTCACGTTATTCGAAAGCTATGCAGATCCTCGAAGTAACCCAACAGTGCCAACACACAGTAACCTGAAGTGTAATGAGATATGTAGGTACTCTCACTGCAGTCCATACGGAGAGCCATAAGCCCAAGGGAGAGCCCAGATCTTCACTCTCCTGCTTTTCTCAACGTCTCGGATTTCCTAGACTAGTAATGCATGGTAGACGTGTCGTTGGAATTGCACTCAGAAAAGTGCACGTTTTTCCGCAGCAAGGAATCAACCCTATGCAGAAAGGCACAGTCCGCCAGCAAGCAAGGCTAGAAGCTCTGATTTAGGAAAGCATCAGAGTCAGTTCACCTTGGACCACAGTTCTCCGACCGCTTTTTCTTTTTCGAAGCGGAGTCTGAGCAGTTTTTAGCTGCTGTTCAACAATCTTCAACTCAATCTAAGCAATGATGCCTCATCATCTTGGCTCTTTTTGGGTCTGGCACTTGTAAACTCCTATAATATGTCGTGGAGTGCAGCATAGTTGGATCTCAGATGACGCAGCCATGAAGAATGTGAGGGAAATGCATGACACTTTATGTGCAAGTTAGAAGTTCTCTGGGCACGCCGGACATATTAAGGTCAAGGACCACAGCCTTTGGGAAGAGAACTTATATTTTTCCTTTCTTCTAGGCGTTGAAGTGCTTCTTCACCACAATACTTACCCATACCGATAACTATCCTCATACATCAGATATGTTTCGTAGATTGCATATGGATACCCGCTGGTATACTCTCTCGCTCACTCTGTAAACCCCCCGATAATCATGTCCTAAATGCTACTGCAAGGTGATATGAAATAAGGGCTTTAGGTCTTGTGTATGCTGCCTTATTTAGTGCTCATAATTTATCAGGTAGATTAGTTCAATCAGTTCAAGTAGTAAGCAAGTGTCAGCCATTCAAATCCACTACGCCAAAGAGGTGTCTAGACGACAATTTCTAGCAAAGTAGAAATGATAGGCATATTCTGGGTGACAACAAGTTAAGCATGTCCTCTCTGTCGGTAGTCGCGCATTCAAGACCGGCCAAACTTAGGTCCCCGAGGGGAGAGAATGAGCCATGTAACATGAGATATACCGTGGGCAACTAAAAAGGGCCAGACTGCAGAGACCGGCTCTAGTTTGCACCTGCTATCGAACGTCATTCAAATTCAAGCTTTGTGGGCCTAAAGACAAGACTGGGCTGCTTATTGTGGAGAGAAGCTTATTGACCATCTTACAAGAACTTCGAGACCTCTGTTTTCGTCCTTGATCAGTAAAAGAGAGACCTTCATCTATGCGTCATCCTCATTGTCAAGAACTCTAACGTGAGTCATCTGAAGGTTTCTTATACGAGCACTGCCCACCATTTACCTGCGCGGTCTATAGCCGCTACCACTAGATCATACATAAACCAGGCATGATATCAGGCAAAGCAATATAATTGTCTCGATTATGCGTTTCTATTTGTCCAACCTTGTGAGACATCATTTTGACTCATACTGTTGGGGACAGAACTGTTAGAGCCCGCGCTTACGTCAACCGGCACACCTGATCTCGTGTACTATATAGTGTCTAGGAAATGGCACAGATAAAGTTGTTCTAAATATCAGATATCTTGTGCTCCAGGTCCTGCTCTTTAAAAGACTGGCATATCTTGATTTCAGCCTTCTGATTGTTGACTGTAGCATCATCGCATCATGCCTTTAGGATTTCCTAATTTTCGCAGCATCTCAGACGATGACCAACTGCAGATGGTGTATAAACAAAGACAGGAGAAGGAACGGCAGAAGGCCTCTCTTCTGCAAATCGAGACAGCCTCGATAACCAGTGACAAGACGCTCTGCCCGCCCGATCAGCAAAAGCGATCAACATCAGTATTGTCCTCAATCAAGACAGGTGAGAGCTCCTGGAACTCGCCCAAGAGCGTTTAATAGACTAAATATACGCTAGCAATGATGCATATTGCCCCAAAGCAAGAGCCTTGAGCTCATCTCACCTGCGAAATCTGAAATCTATCGTGGCTTGCTCCCACTGGCAACCACTACCCATATATCCGTTCCGGTATACGCTCGTTGAAATTAGGAGAAAAAACACGTCCTAAATCTGATCACAAGAAAGAGGCGGGCAGCAGGAGGCAAGAAATGAGAAGCGAGACAGCGAGGAGATATAAAGTGAAGGAGGACTATTTGAAGCTGGTCTCGCGAAGGAAATACAGACTGAACTACTCCAGTAAATACTGGATGCAGTCAATATCTATGTGTGCTAATTATGCATTAGAAGCAATGTCCCTAGAGAACTTTAGAAGTCCCCTAGTACGAAATGATCACTATTCCAGGCAACACAACTGTAGCTATCGAGCATAATGAGTAGGGTTGGTCCATGGTTACGCGTATCTGCATGGACAAAGTCTAGAGATAGTACTATTTATTTCATTCATGGTATAGCACAAATCTCGACCTAACTGCCTAACCATACTATTTGCCTAATAGCACAACGCAGTGTTAGTTACACATAACCCAAAACCCAACCTACCTATTTGGTACTTCCAGCCAGGATTGCTTCCTGAGCAAGTTGCCACTCTTCCCTCGCACTGGAATCACCGAACAACTCGTCAATTTCTTCGAGGGTCTTCCCACCCGTTTCAGGAACCAGGAAAAACGCCCAGACACCTGCCAGGAAGCACATGACTGCAAAGAAGATGTAGGTTCGGTAGCCAATGTCAGCCAGCATGGAAGGGGTGACAACGCCAACGATGAAATCTGACAGCCAGATAGTGCATGTGGCGAGAGCGACACCTTTTGATCGAGACGTGGTCGAGAAAACCTCGGATGGGAGGGCCCAACCTAGTGGCGAATAGGTGACTCCGTAGATGAGGATAAAGATGAACGCCATGGCAACGCAGCCCCAGCCGGCGGCCGTGTGCGAAGCCCAGGAGGTTGAGTAAAGACCAGAAAGGACCGCGATAATGATATAGGCCACTGCAGTGCCAAAGCCACCGAAGATAGCGAGAGGGCGCCGGCCTACCTTTTCAATGACGAGGAAACAGACAATAGCTGCGATGAGTTGGAGAACGTTGAAGACACCAGAGAGAATGAGGGATGTCTCTGCGGTCTGGCCGAGAGACTCAAACAGTGTTGGCGCGTAGTAGATAAAAGCGTTGATGCCCGAGAACTGCTGGAAGAAAGCAACACCCATGCCGACAGCAGTGCGTCTCCACATTTTCCGGGTGAAGAGATCCATCCAGGAAAGAACTTCAAGCTTGATGCCGGATGCACCAGGGTGCTTTTTGGCCAGGACGGCCTTTTGGAACTTGATCTCGGCCATAATTTGCTGATATTCCAATTGGATTCTTTCGTCACTGCTTGGGAGATCTCTCAATTTACACAGGCTAGACATGCAGCCATCCAGGCGGTTGACCAAGGCAAGCCACCGAGGAGAGTACGGGAAGAAGTGAATGCCAGCGCCAAGTATGGTTGCTGTCACCATTTGCAGACCAAAGGGCAGTCGGAAACACGCTTCAGTGGCCATGTTTCTGGTACCGTAAGTGATGTAGAATGCAATGACGACTCCCAGGGTGATGGAGATGGATTCAAGGACGAGAAGCGTGCCTCGCATGTGTGGTGGAGAGATTTCCGAGATATAGAGCGGTGCACCCTATGATTTTCACCCATTAATCTTGGTGGAAACACTGCCGATGGAGTAGAACGTATACCATTGCCAATGTACCAACCCCAATGCCTCCGATAAAGCGACCCGCGACCAGCATGTCGTAGTTGGTGGCGGCCGTCTGAAGAATGGCTCCGAGGTTGAAGACGATGACCATAACCGTAATGGCCCATTTGCGAGAGATCCGATCTGCCAGATATGGCATGAAGATACAGCCGACAAATGCACCCAGCAGCAGCATCCCCGTCATGAATCCCTTGCCAAAGGCACTTGCGGCCCGCGGATACACCGCGTGAAACTTGTCCATCGAGTTGATGATGGAGATGACTCCCATGTCGTATCCCATGGAGAACCCGCCCATGGAGGCCAGGAAAGCTGCGCCAAAGACATACCTGGAGCCGAAGATGCCCTTGAATCCGCTGGGACCATAAGGCAGGGATTCGAGTTGGCGAGGGTCTAATGCATGAACGATACCGACAGCATTTCCTTCGACATGTTCCGCGGATGGGAACTCTTTCCCATCCAGGGAGGGCTTGCTAGCCTCGAGGTCATGGACCATGATTAGGGGGTGGAGATGGCAAGTGGAGTGCAGAAGAAGCTAATCGACCTCAAGAGATGAGGATGGCTGAAGACGGAAAGGTTGCTCGCTCCAGTCCCTTCTATCTGGGAGATATATATAGCGACAATCGGTTATTGAAAACGACGAGACAGAGGCCGGTCCGTCAGTGGTGATGTAATTTGGCTCAATCTTGAAACCTCCAGACGTAACTGGGGCGGGCGCAAATTCCACTCCAGGACCCCCAAGTGCCATATGGTCGGAGGACCTGTCAGTTCCTTGAAGACTTTTGGACTGGGATGTCTGGACATGAAACCAAAAGTTAGTCATTGGACAATGGCAGGACTAGAGAGGCCATCCTACCCCAGACTTCTACCCCGGACGACCCAGCCACTTGACCAGTCTCCGCCCTCCGCAGAAAGACTTTGTCCTTCTTTGGCCAAGTTTCCCGCATATCCCCCGCATTTCAGTGGCCCATGATTGTGGAGATGCTTTGAAAGTCTGACGAATCATTCCACGGATACGCAGATTTCTCAATCCTAGAAGGCAAAAGAACGGGTGGATTGGCCCAGATTCATGTAAATCCACGATTAAAGTTGCGGGAAATCCAACCAAATCCAGAGGCATCTGTCACCCAACTACAGCGGGAAAAATTCCCCCTTTGTTCTCCTCGGTAGCCGAAAAGCGTAACAAAATGCCATTTCTGCCTATCAGTCTTATGGGTCTCGGTCGGAAAATGGCCGACAGCAAGATGTACGAAAGCTACCGCTTATTATCATGTCTTGTGGAAGTCAGAACTATCAATTTTCATTGTCAAAGCCGATGTCAATAGCCACCTACTTCCACGTACGGGTATACGTATCAGACATCGAGGGTATCAGTTAATCTTACTTGGTACCATATCTGTCCTTGGATTTGTCGGCTTTGTGCATGATTCATATTTGTCCTTTGCGGAATATTCGGTCCTGACAAACGATATATCGCGCAAAAAGAAGCAAGTAGAAGACGACAGATACCTCATAAGACTATCCAATAAGCCATATCCTTCAAATATCACGAGTTGTGACGCACCACAATGCTCGGTCGGTCAGGCTCACAGGCACTGAGAGACCACTGGCTGATTATCTTACAGGTATAGGGACTGTGGCACGAGGTGGCGCCAGTCCATCCTTGACCTCCACACTGACCGTAATGGGCAACTGCTCCACCGGAACCGCCCGAGCCTCCAGAGCCACCAGAGCGACCTCCCGAACCCCCTCCCGAGCCGCTCGAGCTCAGAGCTTGCTCTTGACAAAGCTAAGAGCTGCCTGTCCGTACTCGGTTCCGTAGCCTTGATGGGTGTTGGCATTGTTTCCGTTGCAACAGTATGGATCGGCAGCATCGCAGTACGACTTAATCTTGCTTGCAGATGGGCAGCTAAAGCCAGCAGGACGACGGTCAAACTAGATGCGGGGAGTGGTTAGAGCCAACATCACAACTCAAGGAAGGTCTTGCTTACGCCACCCGCGTTGCAGGTGCCGACATTGTACGGCAAACCCGCGACGAAGCGAGGATCGCCCATGAAGATAGCCGCTTTGATCATGTTGACAGCCGATGCGGATAGCGGGACGGCTGTGTTGGAGTAGCCCTCGTTTGGATCGCCACCACCGCAGAGGGCGTCATCCATGATTTGACCACCCTGCCACAGAATTAGACGTGTTTGGAGGTTTCAATATGGAGAAGATACCTGAGAGTATCCGACAAGGACCAGTTTGGTGTTTGGACATCTCTGGTGGAACGAGTTCACGGCGCTCACAACAGCGTTGATTCCGGCAACCACCGAATTGCCATAGCTGACTCCGCCGCAGGAAGACTGACCGCCACAAGCAGGGTAGCTGATCGCCTCGGAGGTGGAGCCTGGGTAGGCGTTGAGGATCAGATTGACAACAGTGGAGGAGGAACCATAGCCGGCGGGTGCGGTGGTTTCGCGAGCACCAAAGACATGGATATTGGGACAGCTGCTCTGTCGTTCCTGAAGTTCGACGGGGCCAGCCAAAGCTTGGCCCAAAAGAGCGAGAGTCACTGCTGTGAACAACATTCTTGCCAAGGATATTGAGAAACAGGCAGATAGTCGGATCTGAAAGAGCTTGTGGAATCTGTAGGCCAAACTTCTGGGATCGCAACGATCGATGGTCCTGATGATCTCTTTTATAGACCTGATCCCCCTAGACGAGCCCTCACGTTATGCGAATATACAATGCCACTTGTCTGTCCTGTCGTCCGATCTCCTGTTTAGAATCTGTTCCTTTGCCCCGAGAAAGAGGGTTTGGATCAACTGCTTCCAAAGACGAATTGGCTCAAAAGATGTCCCAAGACCTGGGGTCGACAGTGATTTTAGCCGTGCAGCGAAAGAGCGCACGATATGTCCAGAATGCTTATAATCCACACCCCTGCAACAGAGCTGGCCTGATACAATGAAGCACTGGCATCTATGGGGTAAATATTCCGGGACAGCTGGTAGGATTGGTCATGTTCCAGTCTCAAGCAGTAGGTACTATGGGGAATTGCCCTGTTCTGCCGAATTGTCTTGATTCTGCAACTCTGAAGAAACAGCATGCGTTGCACTATTCTGCAACGCAGAAACAGCCTGCGTTTCACGATTCTGCAATGCTGAAGAAACAGCCTGCGTTTCACCCGTCAGAAATCAGTGGAGCTTGTGTGGGGAAAATAGGCTAATTTGTGTCTCCCTGGCATATCTCGCCTGAATTGAGAGTCACAAGCGACGACTGGGTGGCTTCGGAGGGCTGTTTTGGCATTAGACATTAGGCATTAGTGTCCCGCTGGTCTCTGTCTCAGCGACTCGTATCCGCCATACGAAGAATCAAAGGGCGAGATTCTTCCATTAGATTCTCCGATTATACTGACTCGGCGACTCGGTCCGCTCAAAGTTACAAGGACTATAATTCATTGTCTTAAGTCATTCTGGATTTTCAAGTTATCAAACCAGGTAATCTCGTCATCCCACGATCGATCATGAGAGGAATACATTCTATTCGAAAGAAGTGAAGAACAACCCGAGAACGAGGATTCTTCTTCCTTTGTTTCTGGTCTGTGCACAAGCTATGCGTACTCGGCGAGGAAATGGAGGCGGTTTAGAGTCTCTTACCTGTTTGTTGGATACTGTATGGGGCACAAAAGAACTCTAAATGACAGACTCAGCCATAGCAGTCGCCAGAAATATATTTTGTTTGCGACTGACCAGAAATGACCGTGATATACAGGGCCGGAGTTCTTGTTGCCTTATTTACTTGATACCTTACGCACATGAGACTCGTTAGTGAAACGAACAGTTCCTCTCCAAGCCAGACGTATCTTACTGCCATGTCCATGCTGACTCGTAATCATGGCTGGACATTGTCACGTGGTATGTTCACCAAGAAGGAAAGGACCAGGTACCAGACTCGCTAACCCGATCAGGCAATACACCTCAACGCGTCGACGCGACAGCGAGACCTCTTTGCTTTTTGTTGTATGACCTCCAAGCAAGTGCACGCACGTATGTAGATAGTTGTCACCTCGCTCTTCATGCAATCAATCTATCAATACTCTTTCTTGTACTCTCTGGTGCTTAGTATGAGTATGCACAACTGTGTACAGTCCTCTTCATCTCCGATATAAGTAGATGCTATCCTTCCCGCCATTCAGGGCCATGAAGGCCAATACAATGTGAGTGTCGTGCCAATCATTTTCGGTCGTGGTACCCACCTAACCAGGCATTGAACCATGGCAGCGCCTTTCATCGCGACGTCAAGTCCAAGACACCAGACGAACTATCGAATCCCAACGTCTTCTGGGTTGGGATCCTCAAAGACCACAAGACCCCCGACAATGCCGACTACGAGACAGATGTTTTGTGGATCAAGTGTCGCGGCGTGAGTGCCACACGATCTTTCAGCTATAGCCGACCAGATACTGACGTGCCTTCCGATCGACTGCAGCATACCAAATTCGAAGATATCAGAAAAAATTACCTGTTACGATCTTCCCACAATGAACCAATCGTGTTCCGGCACAATGGCGTTATCGTGGCCTCGATGAACACTATTGCGGAACTGGACACCTTTGGCGACCGTGTCATTGCTGTCGAAGCGATCAAGGATTCAGACCTGGGTTCTCGTACAAGCCCAGCGCGACGGGATCCCCTTGAGCCCCTTTCCAACCTGGCCCCGGCGAACGCAGGATCGGTGAAGTCGGATACGAGGATTAAGCGTGAGCCTCAAGACTGGTCCTTCAATAACGAAAATCGAGTGCACTCACCCAAACCGCCCAACGCGTGTGGTATGAGCAAATTGGAGTCGCCTGCACATCTCCTTGGACCAAAAGAGGCCGCTCAAGGACATTATACCCTGCCCACAGGCTCTCAGGATTACCTCACAGAGTGTGCCATGCGTGGTTTTATTCATGAGCGCCTCACAGAGGCACACCTTAGCCCTGTAGTAGCGGGGTCATCTATCGGTGAGGGAGCTACTGTTGCATAACTCAGCTACAACGCAACTTGCTGATGGATATAGATCACCAGCGGCGTGAGCTCGTTCAAGAGTGGAATATTCTGACTGCAGACGGCCGCGACCAGTATAGAAAACGAGCCCTCTTGTTTACTCGCGCCCACAGTGCACCCACTTCTCAATTGCTGGCGGAACTGCGTGAGTTTACAAGTCACAATGCTGGGTTCTACCAGTATTTTTTCACCTATAAAGACGATTTTGATGCATATGAGAAGAATTTTGATTCAGATCTAGCGTTTAAATTGATGAAGGGAGACTGGGACAGATTGAAAAGATATGACAAAAACATCTGGATCGAACTAGGACGAGAGCTACGACACACGTCCCCTCAGACCATTCTGTATTCGTCTACAACTGCTTCCTCCTCTGCGCTCACTCAAGATTATTCGACAGAAAATCCGTTGTCCCAAATCACTCCAGTCAAAGCCAGTGCAAAAACAGATCGTCCTGAGCCCAAGATTCTGCAGCAGCTCTCCCTACAGACCCTGTTTGCTGATAGCACTCCGGAGCTCCTCGAGGCTGCCGTGCTACAAGGAGCGAAGTTACTTGAAGATTTGAAAGAGCCGCTCGGTCGCGTGGCGGTTGAAGATGCATCCCAGTGGCTCCAGGCTATAGAGAAAGTCCAAACCCAGGCTGCGCAACCCAAGACGGTTGTCGGTGTTGTCGGTAACACGGGAGCTGGAAAGTCGTCCATCATCAATGCCATGCTTGATGAGGAGAGATTGGTGCCGACAAATTGTATGCGCGCATGCACGGCGGTGGTTACCGAAATTTCCTACAACACCAGCGATGATCCTTATCAGGCCGAAATTGAGTTCATCACACGGGAAGACTGGGAGAAGGAACTCAGGGTCCTTTTCCACGATCTGTTCGATGGCAGCGGCAACGTCTCCCGCGAAGCGTCCAATGAGGAAAGTGAGGCGGGCGTCGCATACGCCAAAATCAAGGCTGTATACCCTAAATTTACGAGAGAGATGTTGCAGAATAGCTCAGTCGAGCAGTTGATGAGACACCCCAATGTCCAAAATGTGCTGGGCAGCAAGCGAGAAATTGCCGAGTCCGATTCTCTTCGCTTCTACAAGAAGCTCCAATTCTTCGTCGATAGCAAGGAGAAGACGACGGGCGAGAAGGACAAAGACAAGAAGCCTGCTAGGGATTTGGAATTTTGGCCGTTGATCAAGGTTGTCCGTCTTTACGTCAAAGCGGAGGCACTATCGACCGGCGCCGTCATTGTCGATTTGCCAGGTGTCCACGATTCAAATGCTGCCCGCTCTGCTGTTGCCGAGGGCTACATGAAACAGTGTACGGGTCTATGGATCGTGGCTCCGATTACTCGAGCAGTCGATGACAAAGCCGCCAAATCGCTGCTTGGTGACACTTTCAAGCGACAGCTGAAGATGGATGGTGGCTTCAACACCGTCACCTTCATTTGTAGCAAAACTGACGACATCAGCCTCATCGAGTGCCAGGAGTCATTAGGACTCGAGGAGCAGATGGGCGCACACTGGGCTAAGTCCGACGAACTTGCCAAGGAAAAGCGAGTACTCAAGCAGCGGCTGGAGGAATTGAAAGAAACCAAAGCCGTGTATACGGCTTCCGCCGACGAGGTGGACGAAGTCCTCGAGGTCTGGGAGGCATTGAAGGATGACATTGAGGACGGAAAGACTGTTTTTGCTCCCCGAGAGAATTCAACCTCCAAGAAACGAAAACGAAGCTCGAGCAATGAGAAATCTGGCAGGCGAAAGAAGGCTCGGACTCCGAACAGTGACGCTGATAGCGACTATGTCGATAGTGATCAAGACAGCAACGATTCCGACGACGAGGCTGATGACGAGGATCAGCCTGAAGAGTCTCGTGTTCCCCTCACTAAAGAACAAATCGCTGGGAAGATTTCGGAACTGAAGACGACGAAGAAGGACAGCCGTCGCCAGAAACAAGACCTCGAGACTCAGATCAAGGAGCTTCGGAAAAGAATTTCAGACATTGACGAAGCTGACGCGAAGATTGAAGCTGAAATGAGGGCGATAGCTATCTCCGGCCGCAACGAATATTCTCGAGGTGCGATTCAGCAGGATTTCGCCGCCGGAGTCAAAGAGCTTGACCAGGAACTCGCTGAAGAAGAGGACGCTGCCAACTTCAATCCTGATGTCGATGCTCGCGATTATGATCAAGTCGCGAAATCTCTTCCGGTATTCTGTGTTTCGTCCCGGGGCTACCAGAAGCTGCGAGGACGTCTGCGAAAAGAAGCCGATGTTCCTGGGTTCCAGTCTGTTGAAGAGACCGAGGTCCCTCAGCTTCAGGCTCACTGCAAGAAACTCACGGAAGTGAGCCGAGAAGCCAACTCGCGGAGATTTCTGAACAGTCTCAGTCAACTTTTAAACTCTCTTCGCTTGTGGTCCTCTCCAGCCGGAGATGGTAGCCATCTCACTGACAGCGAAAAGGCCAGGCAGAATACCATGGTGCAGAACAAAATTCAGAAGCTCGAGAGTGTAAGTGCGAATGGTTCTTATCGACATTCTCTGTATGGCTCTTC